ACACGCATTGTCTGGTTTCATATTCTTTTAAGTGTGTTGATAAGACCTACAGTCCTCCCTGGCTAAAAAAAAGCCTTTTATGAGGCAAGGCTAAGAGAGATTCGACTATATCCTGAAGTTGTAGTTATAACACATTCAAATTAGTCTTTAAGTCACCTTCGCAACGAGAGTCCGTATTAAAGGTCTGATAGTTTCAAAACCTACTTAGACAAAAGAGCATGTTTAGTAGACTTACATGATATAATTAACTACTCATGATAGAAAACATTATCAGCCTACTTCGGATAATTTTTATTATATATTGTAAAGCATATTGGACATTGCATCCACATAGAGTACTCAGACAGATTTTGTCTGAATAGCCTCTGGACTGTCCATGGCCTGATGGAGATGTTTACATTTATACAAATCTTTATTAAGTATTGGTCTTTCTTTATTTCAGTGTGTCAACTTTTGGGCAGATGATGCCGAACTAAATCAACTTCGTCTTGAAGGCTATCGCTACGTCCGCTTATTTCTTCGAGATAATGATATATACTTCATTCCGCGAAATGTCGTCCATCAGTTTAAAACTGTTGCGGCAGTCTCTAGTATTGCATGGCATGTACGCCTTAACAGCTATTATGATGGTTACGACAATATGGGCTCAGTTAACGAGCTCTCCAAACGAAGGAACAGACGGAAATCAAATACTTCTTTGAATGGCAATCTCTCCGAAGATAAAAATCAAGAATTAATTAATCCAGAAAGTCCTGACATTTCGGATGAGCGAACTAAATCCCCGCCGGACGAAGATACTTCATCGGAAGCTGTTGAGTTGTCAGATATAACTGCGGAGCTTGGCACCTAAATAAACCATCAAGGATATAGAAGCTACACAGTCATCATCTCCTCAGCATGCATGAATTTGGGATGCATTTCGCATTTAAAAGCGCCACCATATTCTTATCAGCCACTCAAAACCGATAGATGCACTGAAGTTTTTCTTTGCTCAACTCAATCGGCGATCAGGTACTTTCTGTGATAGCCTACATAGAGCCCGACTAACAAGCGCCCAATTTGCAAATGCCTTTTCTAAAGTCTCCGCGCCCTTGTACTATAACTATTCCATTGTGACGACCAGTTATTTTCCAAAGGTTTTGTGCGTTCGCCAAGCACAGTTGGCCTTTCCCGTAGGCTGAACTCATTCATTTCACCTATTGCTCGATTTCTTACTTCAATTATGGCTTTCTTAGAAAAACATGCCTATCCGAACATCTCGCCTAGCGTTTTTTTTACTAGGTAGAGGGCCGTAAATCTGAAAAAAAGGTGTTTCGAACGTGAATATATATATATTTACAACTTATTTTACAGATTAAATCAAGTGGCAGAAAACAT